AGGCTATCACCCTGGGTAGAGTGCGGTGACATCACAGCTCACAGCAACCTCCAACTCCTGGGCTCAAGCAAGTCTCCTGCCTCAGCCTCCCAAGTAGCTAGGACCATAGGTGCCCACCACAACACCCAGCTATTTTTTGGTTGCAGTCATCATTGTTGTTTGGTGGGCCTGGGCTGGATTTGAACCCTCCACCTTAGGTGTATGTGGCTGGCGCCTTAGCCACTTGAGCCACAGGCGCCAAGCTCTAAGTTCTTTTTTTTGTTGTTGCAGTTTGGCTGAGGCTGGGTTCGAACCCACCACCCGCATATGGGGACTGCGCCCTACTCACTTAGCTACAGGCGCCACCCATTTTTTTTTTTTTTTTTGAGACAAAAGTCTTACTTTGCCACCTTTGGTAGAGTGGCATCATAGCTCACAGCAACCTCAGACTCTTGGGCTCAAGCAGTTCTCTTGCCTCACCCTCCCAAGTAGCTGGGACTATAGGCACCTGCCACAATGCCTGGCTATTTTTTTTTCTTTTTTTTGTAGTTTTTGGCCAGGGCTGGGTTTGAATCTGCTACCTCCGGCATATGAGGCCAGTGCCTTACTCCTTTGAGCCACAGGCACTGCCCAATGCCTGGCTATTTTTAGAGACAGGGTCTCTCTCTGGTTCAGGCTGGTCTTGAACCTGTAAGCTCAGGTAATCTGCCTGCCTTGGCCTCCCAGAGTGCTGGAATTACAGGTGTGAGCCACCATGCCCCGCCTCAAAGCCCAAGATCTTACACCTTGACCCTTTGTCTGCTCCTCTAAAAAAGGCAACACCAGGCTGTGGAAAACAGGCAGTTTTGGAACCAGTCAGACATGGGTGCTAAACCCATTTCTGTCATGTATTGGCTTTGAACTGGGGCAAGTCACCCTCTCTGGGCCTCATTAAAGTGGAGGTGGCACTAACTGCTGGCCAGTGTGACTGAGGTACACATGAGGTGACAGACGCAGCACAGGGCAGAAATGGGCCATCTGAGAGCTACACGTTAACCCATACTTTTTGTCTTGTGAGGGCCACAACTGTTTAATTTTTAAATCAATGGCCAACAGTTAAAAATCAGATTCCATGTTAATACTTCAATTTCAACCTGAACCTTCTAGGTAAGCATTCCTGAGTGAGCTGGTCAGTGCCAGCCTAGAGGCGGAACAGGTGCTCCTCCTCAAAGTCCTCACCTGGCCCTTGAAGGCACTAGGTGTGGGACTTGAAGCATAGGGCCAGTCTCAAGGTTCTCTAAAGTTCTCAGTTCTCAAGGGATAGAACTAAGTCTCAAGAGAAGGTAAAGCTGTTGGCAAGTCACCCAACTAAGAAGCAAGGTCTGGACTACAGATCTCTAACCCCTCTCTCAAACCTCCCTCCCCCCCCCCACTGCCCGCTGCATATCCAGATCTGAATATTGTTGGCTTTGCTTGGCCCAAGAATAGGGTGACCAGATTTTAACATTTGTAAAGCAGAACAACATGGCCCTGGGGGCAGGGCGGGGCAGGGCAGGGCATGACAACAATGCAAACTTTG